CATTATTGAAAGGAAATGTGAATGTAGAGGAGCAGCACTTTTAAACAGTACATTTCTGTCTTCAATTTAAATATTTATTTAGCTAAATTAGTGTGCTAAGTATTATATATGTAAACATTTGACATTTTATTCTTATCCCCAGAAATATATATTTGTTTTGGCCAGCACACATTTGTATCTTTTAACTGGGAAAATGAAGGTTCCCCATATGACCAGTTAGTTTGGGACTGTCTCCATTGATAGCTGTTATCCCAGTTCAATTATTGATAGCATTCTCTTCCATTCTCAGAAGTTGTCCTGATTTGGACAATCAAGGGAAAATATGTTTTAGATTTCAGGAGAAGTAGGGCACAGGATGGCCACAGGGAACTCAGAACCCTCATGAGACTGGAGGACACGAAACTTAGGGACCGTGTTGCTAGGCAATGATAACTCTGCTCACAATGATGCCTATTCATCACTTCTATATTTGATGTGGGGCCATTTCATCATGCACTAAGTTCTGCCCTATCATGGAACCAATTCTGCCCTTAAGCAGAAGAAATATACAGAAACTGAAGTTGATGACAGCTTTGTACCCAAAAAGGTGACCCTGCTCTGAGTTGCTTGGGTCTCTGCCCCTTTCATCCCAGTAAATACACAGTTATAAAACAATGAACTAAGCATATAATGGGAAGAGGGAGAGTCAGTTCCCAATGTCTCATGTAGGGTGGGAGAGGGGTTGGGTAGCTGGGTCCCTTATCATTTCCACTGTGGCCCATTGGGTCAACCTTCCATTATAGGAGAAGGAAAGCTGAAATAAGAAGATTCAGAACGAACTCCAATCTGAGTTGGCTCAAAGTCCTTCCACTGACCCAGAGATGAAAAACACTACATTTTACTGGGTCCCCACAAAACCTCTGCCCCTGCAGTGACTGAGGAAATGGGAAGGTTTTTCAAAAGTCACACTTAGCATGAAACATGTCAGAGTTCACAAGGAGTGAAGGGAGAATCGTGAAAGGTGAAAGTAAAACATGTGAAGACAGGGGAAAGTACACAAAGGATCAGTGGGAGAAAGGCTTCGACAAAGGACACAGCTGCTATCAATGAGAGGCACCAGGTGCTGCATTTAGCTTGCTGGGCTTTATTCATGGACAGACCAAGGAGAGTTTATTTGGAAAGATCACTGGTCCTTTGCCTACCTAGCAAAGGCCAAACTCCAGAATCTGATGCAACCTAGCTTTCAAGCTTCACTTCTTCCTGTTCCCACTAAATAACTTACTTTCCAGAAAAACAATCATCACTGGAATGTCTATGTTTTTGTCAGATACATATTATTTTCATTGTAGAAACACCTTTCTCTGTTTCCACTTATTAAAAATTTATTCACCTTTTGAGAGTCTTCTCTCTGAAGCTCTTACTAACTCTCTCAGAATTATTTCCTTCCTTTTCTCTCTTTTGCATAGCATGTGTGTTACTACTTTTATGACACTCCTCTTCTTTACAATGATCTTATTAAGAATTGTATAGTACTGTGCACAAGGGCAGCCATGACAGGACTAAGTAGGGTTCTTAATACAATGGATATTCAAAAAATCTTAGGCTCATACACTCTTTCCAGAGTGGAACACACACCACTTGTGGCAGGTGAACTGTTGATACTTTAAATTTATGTTTTATGTATTTATTTTGGAGGCAGAGGTACTAGACATTCCCATCCATTGATACACTCCCTAAATGCCCACAGTGACAGGGACTAGGAACTCAGTCCATATCTCCCACACAGGTGGCAGGGATCCAAACCTGAGTCATCATCTGCTGCCTCCAAGCATGCACACTAGCCTGAAGCTGGAATCAGGAGCAGAGGCAGGATGTGAACTTAGACTCTCTGATATTGGAAGTGGGCACCCCGGTGGCATCTCAACTGCTAGTCTAAACACTTACTCCGGTGAGCTGCTTTTAGGTAGATGAGCTAGTTTTAAGCAGTATTTTAAGAATTAGGAATGCATTTTTAAGTTTTAGAAAAACTACAGTGTATCAAACACATGATGTTAGCAATCTTATGCTTAACAAATGACTAAGTGAACTGAAAACATTTATCAGCATCAAGTGGCCAGCACTGACACCCTTCCTGACATTTCCAATTAACACAACTTACTCAACATTTTCTATGGTCTTTAACCATCATTTCACATACATGCTTGTCACTTCTTCCCCTGGAGTATAAGCCGTATGAGGGCAAGGCTATGTTCATTGTGTTTGTTGTTCTACTCCCAGATCTTAGAATAGAATCTGATAAGAAGGAAGGACTCAATACACAGTTAATGAACAACTGGAGGGAGGGGGGCAGTAGAAAGGAAAGGAAGGAAAAAGGGAGGAAGGGAGAAAAAGCTAAAGTTAATTAAAATAAATAAGGATAGAGACGATGTGAAAATACAGTAATAACTGTGGAGGTGGTAGAGTATGACATAGGGAGCACTGGAACCGTACACCAAAAGAACAAGGAATTAGGATATGAAAGATAATGAAAGGTTACAGAAACTTAAATGATAGGCTGACGTCTAGAATATTGAGAAAACATCAAATTCTTTAGGAATACTCGAAGGTTCAACCCATAACTCTGCCATTCCTATTCTGCTATGAAGTTGAAGAAATTTTTCAAGCCATTTGCGAGAACATTAAAGGTCAAAGATCCTGATGAAATCTCAGCTTCAGTGCTACAAGTTCTGCTGTTTTCTAAGGCAAGTAAGATGTAGAAAACACAATTACTGTGCCAGGAGTCAGAATTTCTTTGGGTTTTTTCCTCAGTCCAATATTAACTAGATATGTGATATCGTGAGAAAGCCCTAATTTCTAAAATTTAGGAAGTTTCTGAAGACTTCGAAGGGTAAAGAAGAAATAAAAAGAGGAGGAAATTGAGTTGTGGGACTAAAAAATAACCTTTAATCTGGTGAGATAGTGGATTTATTCATTTAATGACTAGCAAGTGCTTTTTTAAGTCAAGCACTGTTGTAGACACACATAAGCTTGAGAACTGCTCATTGATTGCCCTTAACTTAGGGGATACAGATCTCTAATCAAGAACTTATAAAACCCTGCCAGTGATCTGATTTCAGTGAATTATTGTAGAATGCCCAGTGTGTTGCCTGGAGCATTAGTTTTGTCTGAGCATGTGGGCAAAGGCTTTAGAGTGGAGGTAACGTTTCGGTAGCCTTCAAACTTGACAAATATTGGTCTGCATAGTGCATTTCGCAACTGAAGATACACAGCACATTGATAGAACACAAGCTTTTTAGATGGCATACTGAATAAGCACTTTTAGAAATATTTTTCAACAATTATGTACACATTTTACTATGTTTTAGAGAATTCAAATTTAGATGTAAAGTCCATGACTCCCAGGGCAGGCACTGAGGTATAGCATTGTAGCCATCAGGGGAACGAACCAGCAGATAGAATATCTTTCTCTGTCTCTCCCTCTCTCTCTGTCACTCTGCTTTTCAATAAATAAGTAAATCTCAAAAAAGAAATAGAAATAAAACCATGACTCCCAGATAGTATTACATAGGATATGGCTAACTAAAGGAAATGTAGGAGAAAGGATTGGGTTTCATGACCCAGAGCTCTTCATCTTCCTTATTCTGTTTTATTTCATTCAAGACATTAGTCATTATATAAAATTAATCCCTTTTTCTTTTTTAAATTTAAGGTATACGAATTTCATGTATTTCTTAGATATAGATTTAGGAACATAGTGATACTTCCCACCCATGCTCCCATCCTTCCTCTCTTGTTCCCTCTCTTTAATTTTTACAAGGATCTACTTTTAGTTTACTTTATACTCATAAGGTTAACTCTACACTAAGTATAGAGTTCAACAAATAGTAAGAAGAAAAAACACTGTTCCTCAACAGTAAAGACAAGGGCTGTAAACAGTCATGGAATCTGAAAATGTTAACTTCTATACACTTGTATATATTTTTGGTACTCTATTAGTTACCACAGATCACGGAAAACATATGGTATTTGTCTTTTTGGGACTGGTTTATCTCATTAAGTATAATTGTTTCCAGTTCATTCATTTTGTTGCAAAAAACAGGATTCACACTTTTTTTATCAGTTGAATGGTATTCCATAGTGTATATATAACATAATTTCTTTATCCAGTCATCAGGTGATGGACATCTGGATTGACTCCATATCTTAGCTATTGTGAATTGAGCTGCAATGAATATGGGGGTACAGAAAACTCTTTCATCTGCTGATTTTATTTTATTTTATTTTATTTTTTTGGGTAAATTCCCAGGAGTGGGATTGCTGGGTCATATGGTAGATCTATTGTCAGCTTTCTGAGGTATCTCCATACTGTCTTCCACAATGGCTGTACTGTTTACATTTTCACCAAAAGTCGATTAGGGTACCTTTTCCCTCACATCCTTGCCAGTATTTATTGTTTGTTGATTTACTGAAATAGTTAGATATTTTAATAATGATGAAAATATGGGGAAGAGCAATTATGAATGTAAGTATCAAATGGAGTCAGACTTCAGTTCCACCGACCTTGCTTGAATCAATCATTTATAGGATCTGAAAAGCAATGCGCCTGACCAATCTGCAGAATCAATTTTTGAGCTGATTCAATGCTCTCATTTTCCATATGAAGAGACAGAGGCCCAAAAAAGGTTAGTGATTTGCTCAAGGCCACACTAGCACTGAGCTACAAAGCATAGACTCCAATTCATGTGATTCAAACAGGTCAATGCACTTCTAATAATCTTACTTATAGAGAACAGAGATTAATGGAGTTTTCTCATGACAGATTTCAATATGCTGGAAATCTATAGGTAATAGAATGGTATACATTGCTTAATTTACATAGTCAAGGATGAAGTTACTACCAACAATCAAGGCATAAAAAAAGGAAGAACAAAAATAAATAAGAACAATTAGGATTTTTCTACTGCACTGTCTGATAGCATAAATACTAGATAGTACACTATTGATGAAAACATCAGAATTACCTCCAAGGACCATGCCAGCTTGACAGCACTTTCTAAGGCGACACGCCGGGCAGTTTTTCCTGCGGATTTTATCAACAATGCAGTCATTTCTTCCAGCACATAAATAGTTATGCTGCCCTAAAATAAAAAACAAACAAAAAGTGAAAAATACTTACAACATCTAAAGACCCCTGGAAATTCTATGCAACGATTGAAATACCCTGGGGTAGGTGCACATCAGCAAGTGTATGAATCTCTCAGTCAGCCTTTAGCTCAGCATGATGAATGTTGGTGATGTCATAAATCTGCTCAATACTTCACCTGTGCTTTCAGAAGCCTAAATGAGAGGAGGAATATGGCATAAAAATCAATTCCAGGGCTCCTTTAAAATATATTTGGTACATTTTGTGAACCTTCTGAATGCTGGTCACCACCACACTGCCTTTAGCTACTTCTGTCATTTCAGGTTTGGTGCTGATAAACACTATTTGTGAAAGATAGTGGACTCCTTAGTAAAACCCTTCTTTATGACTTCTAAGACTTTAAGGAAACAGATAAAGATTAGACAATTAAAGAGGTCTCTGAAATAGATTTCCTAAAAATCTACCCACTTAGTCCTATCTGGGGCTGATTCTCTCTTAAAGGATTTAATGTTTATGAATAGCATATTTAAAAAAAAAAACCTTTATTATACTGACTACTGTACTTGGTTTACTTTGACCACAAATTAGAAAACACTGTGAATAGTAACCATGATAATGAAAGAACAATGTAAAATAGAAAAGAGTACTCAATAAAGGAGAAGAAAGAATTATAGAAGAAATAGAAATCAAACACATTGTCCTGGGGTCATTTCACGTAAGGGAAACTACTTATGCTTTTGATACAGTCTGGAATATGAACTCAATATTCAACAATGATAGGGCCAGTGCCGTGGCTCACTAGGCTAATCCTCCGCCTTGCAGCGCCAGCACACCGGGTTCTAGTCCCGGTTGGGGCGCCGGATTCTGTCCCGGTTGCCCCTCTTCCAGGCCAGCTCTCTGCTGTGGCCAGGGAGTGCAGTGGAGGGTGGCCCAAGTACTTGGGCCCTGCACCCCATGGGAGACCAGGATAAGTACCTGGCTCCTGGCTTCGGATCAGCGCAGTGTGCTGGCTGCAGCGCGCCGGCCGCGGTGGCCATTGGAGGGTGAACCAATGGCAAATGAAGACCTGTCTCTCTCTCTCTCTCTCACTGTCCAACTCTGCCTGTCAAAAAAAAAAAAAAAAAATGTTTTTTTTTTTGACAGGCAGAGTTAGTGAGAGAGAGAGAGACAGAGAGAAAGGTCTCCCTTTTCCCGTTGGTTCACTCCCCAGATGGCCACCACGGCCAGCACGCTGCGCTGATCCAAAGCCAGGAGCCAGATGCTTCCTCCTGGTCTCCCTTGCGGGTGCAGGGCCCAAGCACTTGGGCCATCCTCCACTGCCCTCCTGGGCCACAGCAGAGAGCTGGACTGGAAGAGGAGCAACCGGGACAGAATCTAGTGCCCCAACCAGGACTAGAACCTAGGGTGCCAGCACCGCAGGTGGAGGATTAGCCTAGTGAGCCATGGCGCCAGCCAACAATGATGATTTTTAAAACACAAATATGTCCCATTAAATATGGTATGAAGCAATCTAATGTGTTAAGATTGAATGAAATTGGAGAAAATATCAGCTGAAATGTGCAACCATCAATTAAGTGGAAAATTTACTGTTTGCACTCTATTTTTCCAAAAATACCTTTAAATCAGATTGTCTTTTGACACTACAAGACTACACATATCCCTTAAGTATAACAGATAATTTTTAAAAAAATCATGAAATTGGGCTAGCATTGTGGTACAGCTGGTTAAGCTGCTATTTACAGTAACAGCATTCCCTTTTGGGTGTCAGTTCAAGTCCCAGCTACTCTGCTTTCCATCCAGCTCCCTGCTAATGCTATTGGGAAAGAACCTGAAGATGGCTCCAGTATTTGGGCCCTTGCCATCCACATGGGAGACCTGGATGGAGTTTAGCCTGGCCTATCCCTATCCATTTACAACCATTTGGGGAGTGAACCATCAGATGGGAAATCTCTCTCTCTCTGCCTTCCAAGTTAAATAAATATTTTTTTAAAACATCGTGACATTTCCCTGCAGTATTTTACATCTGTCAACATCAAAATCAGAAATCACAGTCATTCTTCAAGCAAAGCTTGCAGGAAAGATTACAGAGGTCCTTAAACATGTACTTAATCAAGCAGAGGAAAGGATGGATATGCACAAGTAGCAAAGGGCAAAAACCCAAAAAGGCCATATCTGTTCCACAGCTGATGACACAATGGTTCTTGATCTGGGGCATTTTTAGAAAAATATATTCTTTTCTTAAAACGTATTCCTCCATGAACTTATGTCTGTGTACAGCCACATCTTAATGTTCATTGTCTTATTTGGGGTCCCTGGAGTTGGGCTTTCTTTTTAATAAGGGTAGTTATGAAGCTTCATATTCATGCTCACTTCTGTGCACATAATGCCTGTACTACAGGTTAGCAGAATGTACTGCACACCACTCTGATTAGACTTTCCCATGAGTTATATACCCAGGTTAAAGGAGTGACTGTGGGAGTAAGATATTTGTTTGTCAATCAATCTATCTCTGCTAAATGATGTTTGTAAGTCACTCAGCCTATCTGTCTGTGTATCCCCTATACAAATCTTTCAGAAGAAATAACAGAAAATAGATTTTTCCATACTATACAGAAGACAAAGCAAGTAGTGCACAAGGATGTAACAGTTGTTTGAAAGGAGATGGTACTATCCTATACACCTTGGCCATAAACATAGAAAACAAGCCTGGTGAAAACAACTGCATGTAGAGTGCTGCTGATTTGTTTCACTTCTGCTTCTTCAATTACTGACAACAGCACCTCCTTCTTCACTGTCTCAGAAAAAGAATTTCTTTACCAAGGTTCTCAGGCTCTCTGTCCTCCTAAAACCATTCCTTCCCCCAGCTTTCAAATCTTGTACCATCATTTTACCTCCCTTTCCTCATAAAATATTTTCTCTTTCCAAATGATATCTTGCTTTCTCATCACATTTTTCCATTCCCCAAAATTCCAGCAGCAGAGGAAAGGAAATCTATTTCACTCTGAATTCCCTGGCTCCACACTTTCCTTAGTCACTGAATGAGGCTGTTGAACATTTGATGTCTTCTAACAATTTCATTTACTCTTTGGCATACAGTAATTTGCCTTGTACATTCACTATTCTTATGAAGTGGCTTAGCATAATCAAGGCTTTCAACGTAAGTGAGGTCAAATGTAGTGGTTATCTGGTTATAATATCATACACTATATTGTTAGAGAATTCTTCAAACAAACTAAGGAAATTCAAAACAGAAAATCAGCTACAATTTCATTACCATGGAACTATTTTCATTTTCATGTTTCCTTCCTGCTAGGGTTTGAATGCCTGTGTTTCTCCCAAATTCATTCTGAAAGCTGAATTCCACCCAGTACAACAGTATCAAGAAGAGGGGCCTTTAGGAGTGAAGTTCTGAATGCTCCAGCCTCACTGATGCAATCAGTGTCCTCATAAAAGGGCGTGAGGGCACAAGCTTATTCTCCCTTTCCCTCTGCCATGTGAAAACACAGCAACAGGTGCCATCCTAGAAGCAGAGATCAAGCCCTTACAAGACACCAAATATGTAGCACTTCGACCTGGGACTTCCCATCCTCTCCAGCTGTGAGAAGCAAGTTCTCATGTTTATATTCAGTCTGATGTGTTTTTGTGATTGCAACAGGAAAAGACCAAAATATTTCCATTCTGTCTAGTCAGACCAAAAGAATACTTAATATCTATTGATTAATATTTATGAAGTGGTTTTACACTTTCACAAAATTCTTATTTATTCAATAAGAATTGATTAGTGAGTATCTGCTATAATACAATGCTAGCATTAAATAATCCACCTCTTTCCTACTAAATTAAAATGTCTGTTATTTGTTGACACTCTACCTAGTGCTAAAGAGCAGTAACTGTTTGTTCTAGGCTCAGATCTGCAGCTTAATATTCTCGAGATAACAACAAGAAGCACTTATTATATATGCCAGGCATTGTTATGAGCTATGTGTATTAACTCATTTAATTATCACAGAAATTATGAGAGGATTATTATTTTCATTAAATAACATCCCTAAAGTCACACTACTAAATATTTTAGGCTAATTTTCTTGAGAGGTATTACAGGATGTTAAGAGTAGGGACTTGGGAGCCGTACTACTTAAATTTGAAATTAAAACTCACAATTTATTATTAGCTAAAAGATCTTTAGCAAACAAATGAATATAATATTAATACCTAGGGTTGCATCTAAGGATTACATGTGTTCACATAAGAACATAGAATGGTCTGGCGAATAGCAAGTACATTATGAATTCATGCTATAATCATGTTTATCACATGGCTAACTCCCAAACATATAGTTAGATTTATTGTAGATGTGATTTAAGACTTTCATATCAAGTGAAGTTATTCAAGGGCACTTAATATCTGTTTGTTAGTGTTTGTGATGTTCATGTACATACAGGCAAGGAAAAAATATTCTCAAATATACATAAAATGAAGAAATAAGGTCCCTCAATTTTCCTAAAGAGGTTCCTGAAGATGTAACCCAGTCAGCAATAGATAGAGAGCATACGAAGTCTTGTATGAAAGAATTGATAGTACTAAATAAATTTAAACATTTTCAAGTATAATTAAGGAAATTAAAGTTACATTAAAAATGCAATATTTACATATCTTGAGGGAGAAAAAGAGCTTAGAAGTACAGTATTTATGCTTGGAGTATAAAGGAACATTTTTAATATTTGTGAAGTGATTGAGACCACTGGCATGAAGTCACTATGTTAAAGGGTTGGCATTACTCATATCATTGAGATCTGGAAAGCCTTAAAGAAATATGGAAACTCAGTCTACCCTCAGCTATGGTCACTTTTATCACTATGTCATGGGTTGCCAAAGTGCGAGCAAATCATCATGCAAGCAAAATAAAGGGGTGTAATTAGAGGTTAGTCTTCTCTAAGCATTTTTTTTTTCTTTTGGCCAAAGCAATTTTGCAGCCAGACAATTCTAACTGGAGCT